CCATTGCTGAAAAGCAAACTAATTACCGACTTATGCGGATTAGCGTAGCCTCACCTACCGCACTCTGTCCATAGGAGATCTGCTAATATTTAATAATGTGTTCTATGTATTTTTATTAATAGATGAATAATAACACCGCACCACATATTCAACCTATCAAAGAAATCAATTATGAATTCACTCAATCAAAATATGCTGTTGCCTCTAAAGTGCCCTTTAGATCAATCATAACCGGTCCGTCTGGTAGTAGCAAATCAGTGCTACTAACAAACATGAATATGGACACCTACAAGGAAGTTTTTCAAGGGTGTATATCTGGTCACCTTCAATAAATGTTGATAGCATCTGGTTGCCAGTCAAGAAATACATAAAGGAAGAAATGAAAGTGAACACTGGTAAAGAGCAGGTTTTGTTTGAAGACTTTCACAGTGAAGATTTAATGAAAGTCATTGAAACACAACATAGAATAACTGAATACAGTAAAAAAACATAAATAAAAAAACAATCCTAATAGTCTTGGATGATATAGCAGATGATCCCAAAATAGCAAGATATTCAAACATATTTGATTCCCTTTATGTAAGAGGTAGACACAATGGTATTAGTGTTATAACATCTGTTCACAAATTTAATGCACTGACCACACTGATAAGAGTTAATGCCACACACCTATTCTTCTACAAGGTCAGCAACTTTAAAGAAATAGAACTGTTTCAAAAAGAACTATCAGCAATACCTAGAAGAAAAGAAACAATATCCAAGAAAGTAAGCAGGTCTTATATAAACTTTATGAAATAGCCACTGAACAGCCACATATGTTTTTAGATATTAATCTTCTGGAAAAGGATAGGAACAAGATGTTTATGATCAATTTTTCACACTATTTGCAAATTGATGATTGATAATGTTAATATGATCAATCTTTATACCAATGAAGGAGCACAAATATTATAGCAGGTAGTTTATACATAATCCTATTCGATTTCAGGATGTGAGCAGCTGGGAAGGTTCGTCAAGGGTACACATTCTATCACGAGCGAAATGAACCCCAAAGGTCCCTACCACATATATATATATAATGTGTGTGTAATGTTTTTGGAACCGTCCTGAAGGGGTTCACACCATGGTTTGGGGGGATCCAGTCTAGGATCCCACGTCCATGCTTTTCGCCTGACACATCCTGACAGTTTGTTTTAGACGCTTCTGGTACCGAGCAGGGTCTGTGCCAACTTGGGCTTGCTTCGGGACCCATACACCCAAAACGCCTGAGAAAAATCATGGCCCACCACTTCTTTACAATGATGTTGGGCCGCACAAGATGCTGTCCAAATTCAAAAAAGCCACCCAAAAGCGCTCTTAGGGCCCGGCATTCCCAATAGCCCTGTAGATTTCGGATCAGTGCCGAGTTCGTCATCGTCCATTCTTGATGCTCTGTTGCAACATCAAAGCAAATGCTGGGGCCGATTCTTTCTCTGACAACTGTTTTGTCGGACACAGTAACCATTTCTTTCCAGACACGCATGCGCAAGAAAAAGAATGTTGATTCCAAGGTTGAAGAAGATTCACGGAAAAACTGCTGTGCTGCTGACTGGTCATTCGGCAATACTTCTATTAGTGACATGTGATCGGTTTTATTAAACTTGAGCCCATAGGCCTTCTTTGAAGCAACATGACTTGAAGATCGGCTAGAATCTGCAGAGATGAAGAAAACTACAGCCTTGCTCCGAGATACACACCAGTACATTAGTGTCAATCTTTACTCCGCCACAGTTCAAGCACAAATGATACCCACCCTCAAAGAAATTATCAAATGGAAAGGATTCGTTTGGAAGGTATCTGGCATCTGGTATATATCTATATATTTGGACGCAACTGGACAGAAGGCGTGTTTGGCTGGACAATCAATTCTTTGGTGACGGGGCTTGATGTAGGAGCAAGCTACTTTGACCATGTGAAATAACTTCAAAAGTGCATGGCTTTAGTGTCCAAACATACAGTATGTTGTTCAAAAAAGATGTCTATCTGGCATCTTGAACAACGTCTTTGTGCGATCTAATCTGGGGGTCCCTGAGGCCCTTCAACTGCACCGCATGTAGATATGCACCCAGCATACAGCTCTACACGGGCGAACTTGGTGGCAGGATGTTTCAACAGCTTTGAGAAAACCACCGGCCAGTGATGAACTGAACTCCCTGACTTGTAGACACAAGTCATTGATGCCTCGGCTGCCTGCAGCTTCTCGACCAGGAGCTGGGCCTCCAAAAACCACCGCTACGCCGCCCCGCGTGTCCCACATGCTGCACGCAGCGGCGGATCATAGCTGCTTCTCGAAGCAGCTTCGAGGCGAGCTTTCCATGCGCGAAGTCTGTCCAGTCTAAAAGGCCCAAAGAGTTAGATCTTTCGAAGGCCCAAAGAACGAGCAATAAAAAGAAGCTACTAGCTTCTTGTTACTAGTAGTAAGGCACTTGTTACTAGTAGCGATGCACTTGTTGCTAATAGCTTCTTGTTACCTTTCCAGTAAAGAGCAGTTTTAAAAGGTCCTAGTAGCGTCCTTGTTACTAGTAGTAAGGCACTTGTTACTAGTAGCCATGCACTTGTTACTAATAGCTTCTTATACAGAGGTGTGAAGCCATGCCTGGTTTTGCTTGCCTGTTCCACAGGGATGCTTGAAGGATAGGAGTGCCCCTGTCACATCCACTCAGGACTGGGATATTAGGGTCTAAGAGCCACTCCTTTGGAACTGCTGGTAGGGTCCTGGACCATCGACATATCGAAATACCATGAATATACAGTAAATGAATCATGCCTCAGGAAAAAAATCCGCGTGCCACAGGTGCCACACCTAAGAATAGGTCACACAGAAGTCATAATCGGCTTACGGGATTGGTTTTCGCTGCCAATCCAGTACCTCGCAGTGTCAACCGCACCAGTGGTGGGGCCTGTCGCGCACCCAGCGTCACAGCCTCACGTGTGTGGGACCCCATGATGCCGATGAGGTCTTTCAGGTCAGTGATTGCACTTCAGAAGCAAGCTTGGAACTCAGACTACCAGGTGGAAAACCCATGGCCATCTTCCAGATACTAAAAGCAAACAACTCAGCAGTCTGGGATGCTACCCCTCTCACCCGCCTCGCTGCCAGGATCCCAACCTGAGCTTGGGCGCTTGGAACGACGGTTCATCACCCAAACGTCTTTGGGGGCGCGGCAAAAAAAGCCCTTCGAGGTGCTGGGACATGGAAGTACGATACAGTTCACGCCCTGGAACGGGAGGCAAATGGTCATCCAAAGGACCATCCACTTCGCATGGAACATCATGGAACGTGAGTCGGAGTGTCAACATCTCGGTCATACCGGGCGCAAACTGAGTCGCCCCAGCACGAAGGAGACGTCTCTGCTTTGGCCATGGGACATGCGGCACATGGCAGAACATGGGAATTCCCCAGGAACAGCGTTTTCCTCGTGGCCTACACGTAACGTCCACGAGGTGGCTGACACGAATCAGTTTTTGCATCAAGAAATTGGTTGGCCTTCAGTTCATGGTCATTCATGCTTCACTTCGTATCACTCAGATGCTTTCGGGGGAAGCCCCGGCCGTCGAGTTGGGCTGGCGAACCTGTGATGTGGATGGCCCCGTGGCGACTCGGATGGCCATTTTCAGTACAAACCTGTAGTGAACTCATGTGAACTCCACAAAACCATGCTTATTCCCAGGGAGTGTAGTACACATCTTCCGTTCCGGTCCTGAAGTTAACCGTGAAATATCTACAGTGGAGCCCCATGGTCCAACCTTCTGTCAGTTTCCAAGAAACCCCATAGTGAATCAATGTTGGGTGTAGAAAGGTGTGGTGAATTCTCATGGGCCCTTAATTACTCTTTCTTATGGTTTTTTCTCATGGCCTCATTGCTGTGGAGCCCAAGCAAGAATCTCAACATCCAGGACGACATGATGAAATGTCAATCCTAGTTGCAAAGGACAGTGAAGGTGCGAGCATGCCGCGTGAAATCTGGCTGTTATTGAAGCTTTGGCTTATCTAGCAGCACAAGATAGCCACCAGCACAACTTGTCTTGTTAGTCTTGTTCAATTCACAGTGGTTGTTGGTCGCTTGTCAGAACCTGATCTTTGAAGAGATTTGTTTCCTGCAGTGGCTACAGTCTCTTTGTCAACCATTTTAAGATGATTGTTGTTGTTGTTGTTGCTGTTGTTTCTTCTTCTTCTTCTTCTTCCTCTTCTTCTTCTTCTTCTTCTTCTTCGGATTCTTCGGACAACCGAAGTGCTGCTTCTGGAGAGAAGCGAGCGTTTTCCTCTCCCGCCGGCCCATCCACGCGCCCGCATCTCAACTGTAGGCTCGCATCTCCACATACCTGGAACGAAAGTTGAAGTAGGGGCAGAAAACATGGCGGACACATTGAGAAGTGCATGCAGCCGGCGTCCTTTCAAAGACCTGACCCTTTCTCACAGATCCTACTTCCTACGTCCAAATTGATTGTAGTCCAGAACACCCTTTATAGCACCAAGGTTTGAATGGCAGGGGGCAGGCTGAATTGGAGTTTGACAAAGCTCGAACCCAGAAATCCCCAAACCCATGACTGGAGAGCCTGTTCATAAAATGAATTCCGCTCTTTTGGCTCAAACCACAAGTCGTGGTTCGTCTAGGACTCAATTCAAACAGAGTCTTTGGATGCCTCTGATCTCCCACTATTCAAAACTACACGAAGTGCTCTCCCTTCCAAACCAGGGGCATTTGAACAACCGGACACTGCTGGACACCAAGAACTGGAGTTCCTCTCCCGGATCGAGCAAGCTAGAAATTGTCTTTCACAGCTGGATCGCGCGCACCTCGTCAAGAGCTTACTGGTCAGTGGCAGAAGCTCCTCGATTTCGTCGGTGAACGGAACAGATTGCCGGATCCCGGCGACGGTGCGACGGGGTGAGGAGAGGTTCCATCAATGTGGCTTACATTATTCCAATGACGTAAACATTATTAATATCAATAAATTGTCTTTGAAATATATGAATGAAAGATACCCTGCGGAATCGGCTTTGACTGGGGACTGTTTGATTCTTCTGGGCTTGGTTAAAAGGAATAAATGAACGTGTGCATTAGCATTATGTAGCTACCTTTAAAAAAGAGTTGAGGGTCCAGCTGCCAGCAAAAGAGCACTCTCCGCTTGATGATTACTACTCAGTGATACTAAGGCCAGGACCAATTCTGAGGTGTTTGCAAGATCTATGACAGCTTCTCATTCTACAGCATATCCGCACACCTGTTTCATTTTAGACGTACTGAAGGGGGCCACGATGTGAAGGGAAGTCGCTGGGCCGCCTTCGCCGACGCGTGGAACCACACGCGATCACTCCCAGACGTTCCACGTCCCGTTCGTGCGGGCTACGGTGGTCTGGCAGTAGGTGGCTCCAGGGACGACCTGGCACCATGACTCGCATAGTCCAAGCGTATTTCAAGCTGAACTAGGAGCAAACTGTCAGCAGAAGAGCTACAAACTGGTTAGGTTTCGAAGTGTTTCCAAGCCTAGTCCTTTGATGTCCCTTGTGTTCAACACAATGTCTTTGCTCAACCTAGAGTAGTCTCCACAATGTCGTTCATTTCAAAATGGGTACGGCTCGCAGACCTGCTGTCAAGTTAAGTCACATGTTCTCAGGTGCAAATACGCTGGTCGTATCTTGGGTGGCTGATAATCCAAAAACAGGGACATATGGGTCCTAGGTTGGCAAATTGCTTCTCACAGGCATAAAGGAAAAGGCGAAATGGTTGTCCGTGCAGTCTGGAAAGTTGTTGAAACTGTTCCAATTTGGCAGGCTTAGATTCTTTGTGTATGTATATATATAATTTACTATGTTTTTCGCTAGGGGCAAGTCACTGGGGAGGGGAGGTGCTGGGACGACTTTGGCGAAGTTCCTGGGAAACAACGATTTGTTTCTGGTAGGGGTTTGGGACTGGGGTTCCGGCCAAGAATCACCGGTGTTTCTGGACCATGCTGGGTTCCAGGCTGGTGCAAAGAGCTGTTGTAGCAGCTGGTCAAAGATGCAAATGTTTTCACTGCCTTGTGCACCGGCAGCAGAGGATCTTCAAAGAAATGTGAACATTACATACATTCCCTTCTCTTGGGAAGCAAGCGGGTTTTATTCAGTCAGGAGTCAGGACAAACGCCTTCTGACGCCAGTCCTGCTAACGTTCAGTCGGATTCTGATGGTTCAACATATGTTAGAAAGTGTTTCTATCTATACGGGTGGAGATTTGCAAAACGCAACAGTGTTCTTACTCAGTTTTCTCCTAAAATTATGCTTGCTTCTAGCCGAATAGGCTTGGGTTTGTCTTGAAAAGGAAAAAGCTTCCCACCTGGTCCCCGGGACACTTCTTCGTTGGAAGACCCTCCCAATTCTTTGGGAAAGCACGGGAACAACGGCGCCAGAAACCGCCGGCGACGGAACGACGAACCGAGCGACGGAAGAGTTGCTTGCTCTTGGCATAGTCCCAGACCTCCCGAGGTCGACGAGCGCAACCGACGAGGTTCCGGTGGACCCGGAGAGGTTCGTGGACTGACTTATGACCGAGATGAAGGGGGGAACAGGAAGACCTCAACCTCTTTCACACAGCATACGACCTAAAGACATGTTGAAAGGAGATCCGCTGGGTTAATATGCATGCAATGTCTAGTGCTGGGTATTCAATAGCTGGAGTGAACAATCGTTATCCAATCCATTGAAGGTTTGTGCGGTGTTCCAGTGATTAACACATGCAAGGATTTTGACGACTTAGTGCCCCTACAAGCGCCTTGATGATGCGAGTGATGCTACAACAGCTTGGACTTGCATTTTCCCAACTCCCCTAAATGGGCTCTACTGGAAGATACTGGAAGTTTCGAGGTGCAGCATCACGCTTTACCGGATAATCCTGTGAACAAGTTAAACAGTTAAACGGATGCTGTACTGTAGCTGAACAAAACTGGTAAATTCTCTCTGGCCAGCAAACTCTAAGCGATAGTGACTTTGCACATCCAACTACCAGTAGCCTTCCCCACACCCAAGAAACCGCCGCTAGCAGCATTCAACGTTCGCGGACAACATTTGGTCTTCGTGCTTTCGGGTGAAGCAATGTGTCTTTGGCCGAGGCGCAAGAGGAAAACTATTCCACACCCGAAGTCCACAATAACATGGTTTGTGTTGTTCGATTCAGATGGTATGATTCCCACAACAGTTCTGGCCCGAACCAATCTCCTGCAGAGATTGAATCCGGCTGTAGCAACTGCACCGCGGTGCAGCACATTGCGAAAAAGCGAGAGTAATACGCATTAGCTGCATTTAGCTGCACATCTTTCATTTCTGGCGCATCTGACCAGCAGTACTAGCCCGGCGGAGCTGGCGCAATCATAGAATCAAAACGAGCCAGGCTCAAAAGACGAATCAATCAGCGGCAGCCGCGCCATTCACGAACAGCGCACGCGGCTGACAATCACGGCGTTGCCAGACTGGCCGAAAGGGAGAAGTCTGAAGATTTCTTTGCTCAGTGCCTCCCCAATCGGCTCAATGTTCCTGAGAAAGAGATGGACTTCGTCAGGCTTACAGGATGGGCAACGGCCTCTCCTGAAAACCGTTAAGTGAATTTGTGTGGACTCTCTCGACTTCCTTGGGGAATGGGCTAGACAGGGTCCCTGTCTGAAGAGCTGTTAAACAAGAGCAGCGGTATGGCATTCGATGAAAAATCCAACTGAACTAACCACTTGGATGCAAAAAATGAATTCGAACCGTGCAAAAACATGTCATCCCCTTTGGCAGAATGTTGGATGAAATGCTAGCGATCCTGCTTTTTCCTAGATACGGCAGTATATGTTTTGGGCACACGGCTCGTGGCTGGCAGTTTGGACCAGCCAGCTCGCGCCTGGCTTGCAGCTCTTTTGGTTGTGAGGGGAAGGTGAAATTTGTGCGTTGGGCCCAGTTGGCTCGAAAAGGTAAGGTATTATAGCATGATCCAAACCTAAAGGTGAAAGGAACAATCGTCGAAACTTCTTCCTAGATGCTTCACATTTGTTGAGCCCTCAGTGAAATGACCCCAAAACAACACCCCTCATTCATCCTCAAGACGCCCACACTCCGAGTTCGCCACGGACGCCAACGGCCCAGCACCAGTTCCACCCCTCCACGGACCCCGGGGGTGGAAACGCCAAGGCTCGGTCGCCCTCGCGATCTGGAGCGCCTTAGAGGCGAGGCGACCGCCAGGGATGCGAGGGGTCGAGGCGACCCATCACGCTGCTCCAAACAGGATCACGGGGCTTTTTCCGTGTTCTTTTCGAATTCCCACCGAAGATGAACACATGAACCGAATAGATCACAGAGGATTGACCTCTGGAAAGGAGCTTCTGCGCTTCTGTCGAAGATGCACTGAGTTCCACGCTCCAAGGATCAAGAGACTCCTCAAGGCGGTCCTGAGCTCCAAAACCCAACGCCACGGCGAATGTTGTAAGGCACACACATCGTTGTAACTCACACTGCGCCTCGACACCTTTTTTGTTCTCTGTACAAATAGGGGTCGTATGATGTATAGACAAAATCAGCCGGCAGGGCCGATTTTGAATGAATCTGAATGGAGCGCTGTGCCGATCGTCACCATGTGTCTTTTTACAGAAACAACCTGTTGATTACCAACCCCTCCATTCAGATTGTAAAGAATCTTCGTATTGAGGGTTTGATTCATCAACAGTCTACATTACAGAAACAACTGATAAAGTTGGGGTGATTATAATGTCTAGCACCCCGAATCCTCCCTTCTGTTGATGAAGGGAATCCCCTGATGGAGTGGGTTACAAGTTATGACTCCCTCCTGATTCGTCCAGTTGGGCACCTGCGGTCTGCTTGGCCAAGAAACACATGAGCAAAAGCTGTTAGCATGACTCAACCTTGATGGAGCTGACCCCTAGATTCACACCAGTGTGCAGAATTTCACAACGAGTCCACGAGCCACACGAGTTCAATACAGAAACCAAAGGGAACACACGGAGAAAAAAAACGGTGGTCACTCAGTCACTCATCTTCTCGGTCACCTCATCTTCTCACTCACGTCCGTGGTCGACCACAGCGACGTTTAGCGAGGCCCAGTGACAGCGACGCCGCAGCGTTGAGGCCCACATAGTCGGAGGTTTCCTCCTCGATCGAAACCACCTGGACAAAGGACTAAGGGTTGTTTAGCCCTGTTCGTTTTAACATGTTTTAACCCAGGGATCTCCCAGCCTCCGCAAAAAAGAACGACTCGATCCGGATCGTGTCGTTTGTTGAACAAATTCTTCATACAAAGAGTTGCACGCTGGGGTGTTTCCTAGACCCATCAAATGAGTGGATGCGAGCACCCCAAAGAACGTGTGTGGCCTTGGGGCAATCTCCCAGGAATCGTCCAGAATTCATCCTCTAGTTTCAGATCCGGTTTTGTCAGCTCTCGAGTTTCATGACTGGAATTCCAGGTGTATGAGTGTAGGAGGGATACCCAAAAATACTCAGCCGGCCCACAGGCTACTGGGAGAAAAATGAACACCACAAGTCCTGAAATCGCTTGTCGAACCTTCTCCATCTTACTCCACGCGGCAGCCGTAGCTTCTAGCTTCTTTGTGCGCGTTTGAAAAGAAAAAAAGCGCCCGTGCCCACTAAAAGATCCACAAAAAAAATTGGTGCCTCTTGTGTATAGAGACCTTCACCCACATAGGTGTTGACATATCTGGTCACTTGAGCTCCAAAGTGCGCCGGCGTCTCAGCCTTCAAGGTCTCCTGAACCTCGACCACCGGCCGTTTCACTCGGTGCGACCGTTTACGGTCGGAGAAGAGTCAACCCGAGTTCACGCCGGTCCATCACCCCAGCTCGGTCAAGTTGGGGGAAAGCAATGGCGGTCGTTTCAACGCGGTTTCGGCAACTCTGGAAAAAAGACGCTCCATCTTTGAGGGGGGCCAATGCTCCAGTGTTGCGCAAGCCGAAGAAAATCAAGATGGCTGTGGGACAAAACCAGGAGACCTTGGTTGACTTACCTGGCAGGTCGTTCGCTACATAGTAGACCAGGGCTTCAGGTTGCCAGGTAGGGTTGAAAAACACTACGACATAGACCTAGAGGGCTTCTGACTGGTGCTTGGCAAGGCATGAGGGATGAGCCCCGATTCCTTTGGATGCGTTCCCCCACTCCCTTCTAAGCACCAGTCAGGCTTCTGGAACGCATTCACACCCAAATGTGTGAGTGTGTGCTAAAATAGGGAGACACTCCCAAAGACCCCTGGTCTGCCCATTGGGGATCACAACATGCAAAACCGCTGTCTGAGCGAAGGCCTCCCAAAAGCAGGCTCCTTACAGCGTGCTACGGTGGGTACTGGGGAGGTTGGAACGCTCAACTGCTGGAGGTTCTCCCTATTGAAATCCACACCCGAAAGCCACCCTCTCACCTCGTCGTCCCATGCTTCGTTCAGAACGATTCACCGGAGCCCGCAGAAAGCCGACCGGAGCTGGCAGCTATTGCGGAAGCAATGACGGACCGACCCCAAGAACGACGACCCAAAGGAGGACGCGGCAGAAGAAAGCGTTCTTGTTCCTAGTAGCGATGCCAGGAGCCCCTAGTAGCGTCCTTGCTCCTACTAGTACGGCCAGGAGCCCCTAGTAGTACGAGCTTCTTGTTCCGTACTATTTGCACAGTAGCCTAGACCAGGTCTTTAAGGAATTGCTGAAGAAATTCCAGGCCACAAGTTCGGTTGTCTCGATGGGCCTTTTTCAACACATGTCGTACCCCAAGTCTAGTAGAAAGTCCAGGTCATAGACTCCCGGTCCATGACGATAAATGCATACAACAACATCGTCTCGCAGGAAGAAAGGCATTGGAATCCCGATGTTGAATTGAATCTACCTTCAAATAAACGAAGGATTCCAACATATTCCAACCCCTGAGGATTTGTTGTGTTTCTCCAATAACTATCATCCTTTTCGTCCGGACACTATATAAACACAAGACCAACTTGCAAGCTTTCCGGAAGGCGGCTCTGGAACACACCCCCGGAGCTTGGGGAACACATCGTGCCATTCTCTTCATCCCTTTACACCAATGACTAAGCCTCCGGCGGCCGTGACGTCCTTCTCAGGCACCGTGAGGATGAAACCTGTGGATTTGTTGACGAGAAAGGTCGATCAACGAGGAGATACCCGTTCAAATACCGTTTCTGGAGTCTTTGGGTACCAGTAGACCAGAGGCCCCGTAAGGCCCTAAGGCCGGGTGTCTATTTGTTCGCCCGAAAAGGATTATATCTTTTTGGTCGTGTCCATGAACCACCGTACTTTGTTGGAGAATCCTTTCTTTGTACTTCAGCCCAGTGACTCACCGTCAAATTCCCTGGCGCTTGAGGCACCATCTGCAAATCCTCTGCGTCGCGAGCATCCGCGAGCGTCCGCGGAAGAAAGGGCATGAAGACTACCCTGCTGTGTGGGGCGCCATGAAATATCCAATCCAACTGTATGGCAGAATG